TGAGCACAGAGCCTGACACAAGGCTCGGTCTCACGACCCTAAGATCATGACCTGAGCTGAAACCAAGAGTCGGACGCTTAACCAACTGGGCCACCCACACGCCCCGAGATACTGAGCTTTAAAGTGAAGCTGATTAGTCATAAAAAAAAAAAAAAAAAAAAAAAAACTTCTTTTAAAACATCTGAACTATGTTTACAGCTATCCTTAGGACACTCGGGAGACATGAAATGCAGGATCATTCACTTGCTGGAAGATGAAGACTTGGGGAATTAAAATATTTTTCAAACATAAACTTTCAAGTAAACTAAACCCAGAAATCAAACTTCCTATGTGATAGGAATGGTCCAAAGCAATTAACAAACCCTTATGAGATAGATACCGCTGTTATCCCAAATTCATAGATGAAGAAATGGAAGCTCAGCAATTTTAAGTAACTTGCCTAAGATCCCACAGCTAGTAAGTGGCAGGCCAGGGATTTAAGGCAACCTGACTAGAGAGCCCGCGTGTGAAACCAGGGGTAACTATATAGCTTTCCAGTTTCTACTACCTCTTTTCTTTTGCTAGCCTGTAAAGGACTGTTTTGGTACCACCTCTGATCCCATCCATATGTACTCTTACCTTTCAAGTACCTACCTCCTTCTCTAGAAAGAAAGTCTAACAGGCTTAGCTTGGATTGGTGTCCATATTTAAGTTGTGGGGATGTGGGCTGGAAAGCCCCTGAAAGGCACCCACTACGTCTTAATGAGTTCTTCACAATCAGGACTTGAATAACAACCATAAACAATAATTTTAGGGAAAGGACAAGTGGGAGGATTACCAGCATTGATGATCTGTTATGTGCCAAGCACTATGCTAAGAGTTTGAAATACAGTGCTCACTTATTTTTATACCACAAGAACTACAGGAGATTAAAGATTATCGAAGAATCAATCAAAACAATGCCAGTGTCAGGTCATGGCCCAGGGCCCTGGGATCGAGCCCTGCACCAGCTCCCTGCTGGATAAACACTGGGACCCAGTGGCAAAAAAAAAGTCACAAGAACTATTGTAATAGAAGGTGGGGCGGGGGGGGGGGGTACTACTCCTGCCTCCCTTTAGACAGATTCAGCAACAGATATCTTGAGATGCCAAAATTACAGTGAGACCACCCCCTGCTCCCCAATCTCCTCCCTGCTACACAGGATTCATAATGGGAATGAAGGAGAACCTGTTCCACATCTCCTAGAGCTCTGAGTGAAATCCAAGGATATAAGAGGGGGTCAAGGAGAGGATTTGGGGGTGCCTGGGTGGTTCAGTTGTTTATGTATCTGCCTTCGGCTCAGGTCATGATCTCAGGGTCCTGGGATTGAGCCCCATGTCAGGCTTCCTGCTCAGTAGGGAGTCTGCTTCCCCCTCTCCCTCTGCCCCTCCCCCCGCTTGTGCACATGCGTGTTCTCTCTCTCACTTGCTCTCTCTCAAATAAATAAATAAAAGCTTAAAAAAAAAAAAAAAGAGGATTTGGAGAAGACAGTTGAGGAGATCTTTTTTTTTTTTTTTTTAAGTAGGCTCCACACCCAGCGTGGAGCCCAACACAGGGCCTGAACTCACAACCCTGAGATGGAGACCTGAGCTGAAATCAAGAGCTGGACACTTAACCAACCGAGCTACTCAGGTGCCCCAAGGAGATTTTTTTAGAGGCTTTTGCTCTGCTTTAATGCCTCTCCTCTTTGGACCTCAGCCAAAAGAGGCTAAGCACACACAGCTGGATATCCAGGGGTTAAGCAGAGTTGAAAGAGACCACCCAGAATAGAGAGCCATCCACAGGGCCTGCAGGGAACCTCCAAAATTCCTATGCAAGAGCCCTGAGAAGAAGAACCAGCTGGAACCATCCTAAAGGCCCCCTAGGAGTCACCGGCTTTAATCATCCGTAAGGCCTGGAGCACACAGAGCCACCAGATCAAGCACTCACTCACTTGCCCCTCTCTCCCTCTCATCTCTACCCTACCTCCAACCCTGGAGGAGAAAGAAGATGACAGCTAGCAGGTAGACGTGAAGGTAAGTGGGGAGAGAAAGAGAAGCGCAGAAGCTGTCAGAAGTTTCATCCAGATGTAGAGGAGGATCCTCTTCTCCTCCTCCAGCCTCTGAATGAAGTTTAAAGAATTAGTGGAAGGGAAATATAAAATTGCACTTTTTTTTTTAAAGATTTTATTTATTTATTTGAGAGAGAGAATGAGAGAGAGAGAGCACATGAGAGGGGGGAGGGTCAGAGGGAGAAGCAGACTCCCTGCTGAGCAGGGAGCCCGATGCGGGACTCGATCCCGGGACTCCAGGATCATGAAGGCAGTTGCTTAACCAACTGAGCCACCCAGGCGCCCTAAAATTGCACTTTTTAAAAGTAATCTCTGTGCCCAGTGTGGGACTTGAACTCACAACCTTGGGATCAAGAATCACATGCTCTACCAACTAAGCCAGCCAGTTGCCCCAATATAAAATTGCATTTTGATTATATCGTGAGCTGTGCTCATGGTAGTCTCAGAGCAACAGAAATATCCCCTACAGTCACAGAGAATGAAATGCCTGGTAAAAGCAAGGCTCTGGCGGATTGCGAAGGGAAGAAGATAAAGGCTATGAGGTGAACAGCTTCATTTAACTGCACGATAACATTTAAAGAAAAAAGAAATCACAGGCTTAGGATTTAAATTCTCACTTCAAAGCGTGATCAGTGAATGAAGAGGTTTCTGTGATTTCCCTAAAATTGTCTTTATGTCACTCAGGCAGAGGGCTAATGAAGCTGAAAATCAGAGGCAGAGATGGATCCTCAAGACTGATGAATTAAAAAACAGATTGAATTCACAGTTTCACCAGGCCTTTCAGGGTATTTGTGAAAAAGTGGTTCTTCCCCTGAGTGCTGGGATGGAGATATTTTGTAGGTATCAGCTAACCCTGAAACTCACAGAGCTTCCTGCACTAACAAAAGTAGCCTCTCCTCCCATTCTGATGAGGCTGGCCCTGTCTGGTTCAAAAACACTGTAAGTTCATCGAGTGGTCACCTTGCAAGGAGATGTCCTCATGGCCCACCCCATCTCGGCTCATTGACTCCAGACACACAACGAGAGTCAGATTCCAGCACACCCTGAGATCAAAGTCAGACCTGGGAAGAGAGGGCTGACATACCAAAAGCATTGCAAGGTTATGGGAGAGAAGAATTCTGAGAGTGTTGACAAGAGAAGAAAATAATTTTAGATCGGATCAAATTTATGTTACAGGTATCCTCACCAAAACTTCTGGATTCAGCATGCTATGTGAAACAACTAGAACAGGTTTACCCGTCTTGCTTGATTGTCTGAAACGGAGTATCCATGGGGGCCCATGCACATGAAGTTCAGATGCTCTGCCTTCCTTAATGAGAAGGGAATCCAAAGGCTTAAGGAGAAAGGACTAGTAGAGAGGATTCATAATACCTGATCTACTCGCCCAGTTTTGGAAAGAGGAAAACAACAAAACAAAATACTCCACATGGTGGTGAGAAGAGTATTAGCATTCTGGAAAAATACTTGCCCTCTGTAGGCCAAGGATGAGAGTTCGAGATGCTCCCACAGACAAGAGTTTCCTGAAGGGGTTAATCTTCTGAGGGAGCTGGGTTCTGACTCCCGAAATAAGCAGAAGGCTCATGTGTGACTGACAGTGCCTCATAGATCCCAGGGTCTTTAGGGCTAAAACACACAGGTACTAAAATGTTTGCACTTTTTTTTTTTTTAATTAACTTGTATGACAACAACAAAATCTAAGTCTGGGGAACAGAGGACTGACTTTAGTCATGATGATGGAGAATCAGTCTTCACCCAATTCCCAGCCCTGAGGCACCTTCCAGACCCAGAGCCCCTTGAGGAAAGGGAAGACCAGATGCTCTTGAGGACGACCCTGCTGAGTAATATTCCATTGTGTATATATATATATATACCACATTTACCAGGGCAACTGGGCCCTGACAGGATTATTATTATCTCCTAGCTAATGCTAATCCCCAGAGCCTCCAAATGCCACCTCTGGTTAGCTCTGGTAGGTGTAAGCAAATTTATGGAAAACAGGTGATAGCAGGGCTCACTCACAGCAGGACCATTCATAGTGAGACTCATGGATCCTCGAACCCATTCTATAGTTATTTCCACAGTGCTTGAATGCTTAGTTGTAGCTGAAGTCCTAGCAGACAGCAGTCACCGCTGGCTCCCTGACCTGTGATGTGAATCTCACTATGGTAGGAAGGGTTAAATGGAAGTCTCTGGAACGATCCCTCTATACTGAAATAATAAAGGTGCTTTGTATATATTAAATCATTTAATCTTCACAATAAGCCTGTGATATAGGATCTATTATCATCCCCATTTACAGAGGAGGAAACTGAGGTGCAGGGAAGCTAAGCAATTTGCCCAAGTTGACCTAGCCAGTAAGACTGGATTCAAACGCAGGCAGACCTACAGTCCATACACCATACATCAACTGAGATGTTTGCTGCAGAGAGAAGTAACAGAAAACAGGTGGTGGAGGGAGGAGGTTCTAAACACCGATGGTGCCTTTGTGAATATTGCAGAAATGACGGTTGTCGTGGCTGTTCACAGTGAGAGGAGTATAGATAGTGGGTATGTGCATAGGATTTGAAGCTAGACTGCATGGGTTCAAATCTCAGATTTAGCAGAAGACCTTGGGCAAGTTTCTTAACTTCTCTTTGGGTCAATTTCCCCATTTACAAAGTGATAGTCCCACTTTGTAGCATTTTTATGAAAATTAAATGAGTTCACAGATAAAGTACCTGGAAGGTTGTGTTTGCTATTATCACCTTCCTTGCTTTATCATGTATATTTTTATGCAATTAACTGATTTTATATTTTATATCCTTTTGTTCTTTTTACAAGTTCTTTTTATAAGTTCTTTAATACAACTATTTTATATAGGTTGTATTAATGATGATTAACCTTAAAACGTATTCCAAAGGTCACAGAATAACATGATGGGTTTGTTACTAACCTTGAGAAAGAATGTCCACCAGTCGAAATCCTGAACTCAGAGCCAGAGTCAGACACTGCTGTGACTTTAGTTCCCTCCTTTTGAAGAGAGGGCGAGTGTGTTCACATTTTTACAAGGAATAGTGGCATTATCTCAGGCTGTAGGAAACTGCATGGCTTAAAGGTAGATCTTCTGTGGATGCTTTGCTGAAAAAGAAATTATGATCGTGGTGAATGTTCAGTGATATTCATCTACGGTTATCCAATTTGTTATATTGGTCACTGACCCAAATGTGGATGGTAGTATTAAGTGCAGAGTTCATATGGTAATTATTTGTTTAATGACATTCTGATGTGTTTTTTCCAACACCATCAACCAATTCTCCAATTCTCAGCAGACACAGACTGGGTGTTCTACAAATTTAACTCAATTCTGATGCTGTCTACCTGCAGATAATCGTCAGTTCCCACAGGTTAAGGGCTCACTCCCATAAGACTGTTCCCATTTCAGATGCCAATCAAAAGTCTAGGCTTCCACTTGTGCTTCTGACCAACTAGCTGTAAATTAGAGGTTCCCAAAGCTCCTTCCTCAAGTCTAATTTGCTAGAACAGCTCACAGTACTCAGAGAAACATTTGCTTCTATTTACCAGCTTATTATAAAGGATATGAATGGAAGCCAGAGGAAGAAGTACATAAGGAGAGATATGGAAGGGTCCTGAGCTCAGGAGCTTCTGTCCCCGTGGAACTGGGGTGCACCATCCTCCCAGGTGTAAGTGTGTTCACCAAGCTCATCAAATCTTGTTGTTCAACAGTTTTCACAGAGCTTAATCTGCAGTGCCCACTCCTCTCCTTCCCAGAGGTTGGTGGACAGGGCTGAAAGTTCCAGACTTTTAATCACTTGTCTTTCTGGTGGCCATCCCCGTCCTGAGGCTATTTAGGGGTCCCACCCTAGGTCACTTCTTTAATATCAACTCCGGGGTGCTCAAAAGGGGCTCCTTATGAATAATAAGACACTCCTTCCAAGCGTTTTAGGAGCTCTATACTAGGAGCCAGAGATGAAGACCAAATATATATTTCTTGATCTAAATCACAGTATCACAGTCATCCATACCATTAGATTTAAGTTCCATGAAGATCCATTTTCTCTCTTGTTCACCAAGGTATCCCCTGAGCTAGTGCAGGGTTCTGCACCTGGGATTATCTCAATAAATGTTGGCATTCATGACCCATTGGTTTTGAATATATCAGTATTATCTATTGCTGGATAACAAATTACTACAAATTTAGCAGCTTAGAACAACATACATTTATCTCCCAGTTTCTGTGGGTCAGAATTCCAGGCATGGATTCATTGAGTCCTCTACACCACGGTCTCCCCCTGGAATCTGTAATCACAGTCTTGGCCAGGGCTGCAGTCCTACCTCAAGGTTCGACTGGGGGACTCGCCACACGTAAGCTCACGTGACTGTTGGCAGGAATTAGTTCCTTGCAGGTTGTTGCGCTAAGGACCCCAGTTTCTTGCCTGCTGGCAGTGGGAGGTTACCCTCGGCTCCTGCCATGTGGCCCTCTCCATAGGGCAGCTCACAGTGTGGCAACCTGCTTCATCAAAGCCAGCACGGAAGAGGGTCTGTCAGGAAGAGGGACATTGCAACCTACGTAACATACTAATATATGTGTCATCACATACATTCCATTACCTATTGGTCAAAGGCAAAATGTAGGACCCACCCACACTCAAGGGCAGAGAATTCTACAAAAGCATGGATACAAAGAGGCAGGGATCATTGGGCACCATCTTAGAGTCTGTCTGCTTCCATAATTCGCCAGTAAATACCCTCATCATGTAAGCTGTAGCCGTTCTCTAAAGAAGGCAGAATAGTTAATGGCTGAGAAAGGCCAGAGGATCCTCATTAGCTCAGACTTCACTAAGTCCCTGCTGTTGTCAGTTTGCACAGGGAACCAAAGGTCATCTTAAGATAAAAATATTCACTAATATTAAATTAGTCCCCACTCAAACAAACCTGTCTCCTCTTCAGGCTAGTGTACGTCCTCTCCGTCTCATCTTGCCAAGAGCTGCCTCTTGCTCATTGTGTGAGTCTGCAATGCAAATAACGATCAAGCCAATCACACAGGTGCCTCGAAAGAAAATTATTTGAATAAAAAACAAAGAGAGAAAGAAAATTATTCGAGTACCAGAGCCTTAGAAGAGGCTCTTGGGAAAACTGATGAAGCCCTCAAATAATCTTGCAAAACTGATTCTTGTTTTGATCGTGTTGGGCAATCTAAGTATAAAATGTATCCTGCTAATCATACCATTTTGGGATAAATAAAATGAAAAAAACATCAGCAAAATATATCTTCTTTTTTTTTTTCATTGTAAGAAAATTGCCTGGATGCAAAAATAACCTAGATAATCTAACCTTACATGTAAGAAAAAATAAAACTGTCCCATAATTTTATTTTATTTTTAGTATTTATTCTAAATTTGGGTCTGTTGTGAGCTGTGCCTGGGTTCAAATCCTAACTATGTCCATTACTAGCTGTATGACCTTGGGCAGGTTACTTAACTTTTCTGTGTCTCAGTTTATACAAATATAACAGGGAGAGGCTGGTAATAATAGTGCCCATGTCATCTACTAGGCCGTCACCTACTTTGACCCTACTGACAAGCCTGTGAGGCCAATGTCAAGGCAGGTGCCTTTGACACTTGCAGTTGGGGCGAGATGTCCAGATGTTCCTTTTCTGCCTCCAACAGGCTGGGCCTCGGCAGCATAAACTAGAGTGGCTGAGTAATTAAGGGCAGGGGTAGCAGCAAGTTTAGGATAACCTCCTCTCTAACCGCTTTTGGAAAAAGTCCATCTAACACGAACCCACCTACAACAAAGACCAAATAATATACTTGCACCTCGCAAGATACAAGAGCATGTAAGTAACTTTCCAAAGGTCAGCATATAGCAAGCAGTGGATTCAAAGCCAGCTGTAAGTCACTCCAAAGCCCAATTTGATGCTTTTTTTCATACACTTCTCTTTGCACAGCCCGGTGGGTTGGAGGATGGGCAGGGAGGACAGGCCTGACTGGGGGAAATGCAACAGCGCTCGGAAAATAAGGGGTCAGATCAATCGCCAACCCAAGAAAATCACTAGCCTTGCTTCCTTCCCTTCCTCAACCAACCCTTTCGCCTCTTAGCTCTTCCCTCCCTCCATCCCCACCTCTCCTGTTCCTCCAGTGTGCCGCTTAAGAAGATTTTTGAATAGTACCCTGGAGATAAGGAAAAAGAAACAATCTAAATCAAAAAAGCAAGTAAGTCGATACTGAACCATCTTCCAGCTGTTCTGTCTGAATGGAGAGAGAAACCCAAAACAAAGCCCAGGAGTGTTAAAGCTCATTTTCAAAACACAGTGCATGCAGTGTTCATTCTTAATGGACCCGGGGAGTGAGATAGAATCGAACGGAACTGAGGCGAGGGTCGCTGCTTGGCAGATCGATGACACGGACGTAAGTGGCGGAGTCCGCGAGCAGGCAAACACAGCAAACGGAGGTGCTGTTTGGGGCTAGGAAGCATCAACAGCACCTTTGGAACCTGCCGTTCCGAGCATGAAAAGGGCCCTTCTTGTCCGCAAGTCACGGCATCTCTGCTTCTTCAGATGTGAAGTGGAGAATAAGCAAAATCCTCGGAGGCCAAGCTTGGAATGAAAAGGAAAATGCAAGGCTGGAGTCCGAGCGGTATTGCTTTGGAAAACAGTCAGTGAGGGGGAGGGAAGTATTATTCTCCAGCTGGGGCGGGGTACAAGCTGGGACCGAAGCAACTCATGCTGCTGTGGAAATACTCTCTCTCATTCAGCTCTGACTGAAACTACGAGACTGCAGGTAACACATTAGGCAGTATTTACCTCTGTCTCACTGACAAAAGTACATGGGGAATTCAAAATCCTGGGCTTCTATTACTCTTCTCAGTAAAATGTGGAAAGGGGATTAGAGAGTATTTATACCCCCAGAAACCTCAGAAAAACAAGGAACAATAAATATCATCCAGGTGGGTCAAATATCTTAGGTTAAAAATCTAATCTCCCATAATCCTGATCACTACAGTTTCAATATTTCAGGGTAAAAAACTCTCCAACATAGGGGGTACCCGGGTGGCTCAGTCGGTTAAGCCTCTGGCTCTTGATTTCAACTCAGGTCATGATCTCAGGGTCATGGGATCGAGCCCCAAGTAGGGTTCCGCCCTCAGCTGAGGGAGCCTGCTTCCCTCTCTCTCCCACTGCCCCTACCCACACTCGGGTGCACGCACGCACTCTCAGTCTCTAAATAAATAGTCTTAAAAAAAAACAAAAAACAAAAACCTCTCCAATATAGCTAACAATTTATTATACACATGTGAATACTTTCAAAAATATAACTTTGAGGGGCGCCTGGCTGGCTCAGTCGGTGGAGCATGTGACTCTTGATCTTGAGGTTGTGAGTTCAAGCCTCATGCTGGGTGTAGAGATTACTTAAAAATAAAAATCTTCAAAATAAACAACATCTTTTAAAAAAGATGTTATTTATTTATTTGACAGAGAGAGACACAGCGAGAGAGGGAACACAAGCAGGGGAAGTGGGAGAGGGAGAAGCAGGTCCCCCCCCTCTGAGCAGGGAGCCCGATGCGGGGCTCGATCCCAGGACCCTGGGATCATGACCTGAGCCAAAGGCAGATGCTTAACGACTGAGCCACCCAGGCGCCCCTAAAAATCTTTAAAAATATACACATAACCTTTACCTTGAGTCTATAACATCTACAAAGTTTGTAAAACACGTTTGTTATATGTATCAGATTATAAATTACATGCATTGGAATGTTATGGGAACTCAGATGTTCTTACTGTCTTTGATCATACTCCCTAGAAGCAGAGTTTGAGACAGGGATTGGAAAGCACACAGTTTACTAAAGGAGTACACTTGGGAGAAAGGGAGGGAGGGAGGCCAGGGCAGGAGAAGGAGCTAAGCCAAGGCAGGGTCTCAGCTGGAGAGGAGCTTCCGAATGATCCCACAGGGAGCTCTGCAGTGTGAATTGCATCGCGGAGTTGGTCTCATTTTGTAGTCAGGGAACCAGGCCTTCATACCTCTGTGTCAACTGGTCATTGGCTGCTGGTTCCCACCAGGGATGGGTGTAACTTCCTGGGTGGGGTGGCTCCCTTTGGGCTGAGGGCAATTCTGCAGAGAAGGGGGCAGCAGGGAATGCTTAGCAGCCCCAGCTCACAGCACCTGGTGGGGGGGGGGGGCACGCGCCAAACAAGGCATGTGGGGGGTGCACCCGCAGCAGTGCACCCTACAGCTGCAAAATGAACGCACTTGCCTGGGGATGAGTAACCCACTGTCTAGAACCCCACGAGCTTGGTATGAAGGGATCTTCACCACTGTCCGTATGGTATAGATTTCCCGGTGGTCAGTCACTGTATTAGCTTCCGCCATTTAAGTCTGTCTGAAATAAACACTTTGGCAGATTCCAATCCAAATACAAGAGGAATCTTCATTTTTCCACAGCTACAGACAAAAACAATTCAAAATGGATAAGAGTAAATAATATTAAAACTCAAACAGTAAAAACCTGGAAGAAAATAAAATTATTTATCATCATTCTCAAGGGGGGGGGCGATTTTTTTATGCCTGGAAGTAAGGAGAAAAAAAAATCATAAAGGAAAAGATCAGCAGTTTTTACTGCATAAAAACATAAAACTTCTATCCATCAGGGAAAAAGAAACAGCTCTTCATAAATGAAGTCAAATAGTAAACAACAATTAGGAAAGAATGCTTCTGCAAATTTGAAAAAAAAAAAGAAATCCTTGACGAATAAAGATTGCTAATTTGGCAAGGGGAGCATTTTCACAGCATGCTCCTTGCCAGATTCGGGAATAAAATCCTCACCCAGCAAAAGGGATTAAAATATTCCTTTTCAAGTGCCCCCAGGGACTCTCCTTGCACAAATGACTTCATTGTTCTGTACCTCAGTTTCTTAATCTGTAATATGGTGATGATGATGATAATAACAACAACAACAACAACATGGGGCTAACAACAATAGTTAATACCTACCTCTTTTTTTGTTGTTGTCATTCTTAGGGCTGCAAGAACCAGGTGTTCTACAAACGATTAATTGCCCGTGCTTATAAAAAGAGGACATCAAGAGCAAAGGGAGCTACCATGGGTGACACAGCACAAGCATCAGGGGGATAATTGGAAGTGGGGTTATAGAGTGAGGGTGTGTATCCTGTTAGCTGCTCCCATGCCCTGGCATGAAGCTGTCCTTGGCAGAGCCAAAGTTCTAGAACTTAGGTCAGGGATCTGCCAGAGGACCCTTGACACCAAGAGAGAATTCTTCCTTACCTATTATGGTAGAGACAAAATTGGTTTCTTCTCAGGCTCCCTTGTTAGATATGGTCATGCCACCAAATTCTAGCCTATAATGTATGACAGGAAGTGACGTGTACCATTTCTGGGCAAGCACCCATCACATTCGGTCACATTCTCCTTTCCTTTTCACCAGCTGGAATCTGGATGTTGGAGACGCCACTCAGACCATGCAGACAATAATGGGTCTTTTGATAGGGCGAGCCACTAGGTGGAGAGAGCTTAAGTCCCAGAGTACTCTGTGGAACAGAGCCACCTACCAACCGGGAACACACACACACCGGGTAGTTTCATGAGCAAGAAACAAACTTCCATATTCATGCCGCCAAATGATTGGGACTTATTACAATGTGGCCTGCCTTGATACAGTAATGTTGAGCTAAACCTGTTCATAAATCATACTCAAAGCCTTTCCTATAGAAACATCCTAGGCACTGCAGAACAGCAACCCTCCCAACAAACAGGAGGAGGGTCCCTAGAATTCCCACTGTTAGAATCATTTGTTTGGCTTATACCTAGCAAAGTTATGAAAATAGAAATAGGCAGTAAACTAAATTGTAAAAGGTTCCATTCTTTGCGTTTTAAGGACAGCCTTCTGTTGCACCTGATTTTCTTTTTTTTAAAGATTTTTATTTATTATTTAACAGAGAGAGAGAGAGCACAAGCAGGGGGAGTGGGAGAGAGAGAAGCAGGCTCCCTCCTGAGTAGGGAGCCTGATGCAGGGCTTGATCCCAGGATGCTGGGATCATGACTTGAGCCAAAGGCAGATGCTTAACCGACAGAACCACCCAGGTGCCCCCTGCACCTGATTTTCTTGAGGAAGGTACATTATAACAGGTTGACATTCCTGATCAAGAGTCTAAAGCTAAACTTTTAAAAAGTGATGGGCATCATATTTAATTAATTATTAACTCTTTAACTGCCTAGCTTAAAGCTTTCCAAAATAGATTAGCATCAATTTACTAGGACAACTTTTGGAAACATACCAACTTTATTTAAAGTATTTCTAGAGAAAGTCATGATTGATTGATTGATTGGCCACCATGGTCCAGATGCTGATCTACATACTTTAAATACATTATATCCAATCATCACAGAAATTCCCAAGGCACCTTACAGAAGTGGAAATTGAGACTTAAGAGAGGTAAGCAATTTGTCTAGGATCACCTACCTGATAAATCACAGAGGTAGATGTGTATAGATTCAAAGCCTCTATGCTCACCTTGCAGCCTCCTGGTTCAGAAATTGAAGGGCATGGGCAGAGATTTTGATGGAAAACTAGAGGCTGGGAGTGCCTGGGTGGCTCGGTCGATTAAGTGCTTGCTTTCAGCTCAGGTCATGATCCCAGGGTCCTGGGATTGGGCCCCACATCGGGCTCCCTGCTCAGCGGGGAGCCTGCTTCTCCCTCTCCCTCCGCCCGCTGCTCCCCATTTGTGCTCTCTCTGTAAAATAAATAAAATCTTTTAAAAAAAAAGAAAGAAAGAAAGAAAGAAAACTCAAGGCTGGCCCTCAGAGGAGGCTGCTTGGTTCTGGACCTTGAGGGATAGGTTTCTATGGTTGAGAGCAACAGGAAGCAGAAGTCGGGCCACTGCGTGTTGTCGAAAGGTCATACCATGAGCCACTGGCTGGATATTCCAAGTACGAACCGTTTTAAATACGACGGGTAACCTACAAAGAACAGATATTAAATCACTACATGTACTGAGCACCTACTATGTGTCAGGCAACATTCCAAATACTTTACATGGATTTACATGGATTCTACCGTGCAATCTGCACGAGACCCCTTTGAAGTAAGGACTATTATTATCTCCATCTGATGGCTCAGGAAATGAGGCACAGAGAGACTAAGTAACTTATCCAAGCTTTAGAAGTGGCAGAGCTAATGTTAACGTTGTCAGGCCCCAAAGCTCACATCTTCACCCCTATAGTATAGTGCTCCCTGAAACAGCGAATAATAAAATTTCATGTCCTGTAATTCTTCTTTTTCTTTTCTTTTCTTTTCTTTTTTCTTTCTTTTCTTTTCTTTTCTTTCTTTCCTTTCCTTTCCTTTCCTTTTCTTTCTTTTCTTTCTTTTTTTTTGAGAGAGGGAGAGCAAGTGGGGGAGGGGCAGAGGGAGAGAGAGAGAGAGAGAGAATTTTAAGCAGACTCCACGCCCAGCAGGGAGTCTGTCTCGGGGCTCGATCCCACGACCCTGAGACCGTGACCTGAGCCGAAATCCAGAGCCCAACGCTTAACCGACTAAGGCACCCAGTTGCCCCCATAGTTATTCTTATCACTGTCCTGCACAGCAGGTGCCCACTCCTACCTAGAATTAGCCTGGAGTCATCATCACACTCGGGCAAATCTCTCTCCCATTTTCATGTCTCATAGACGTAGAGGGCTAGCACGATGTAATGGTAAGAGGAAGGATGTTAAGAGCCAGTCTTGGAGATGAAATGCTGCCTCTTTAAATTACTGGCTGAGGAATTACTTAACGTCCCTGAGAGTCCATTTTCTCAGCCGAAGAATAGGTTCCCATCAACAATAAGGTAACACCATAAGCCCTGTAATACCTATTAGGTAAGCAGGTAATACGGAACAGATAATGCCTATTAAGGCGATACCTACTAGCATGCCTGGAGCACGGGTCCATGTTCCCCACGTGTCGGTTTCCTTCCCTCCTCCACGATTCTAGTCCTGCACTCTGCCTGCCCCCATGTGAGCAGAAATTGCTGAGTTGCATTCATTCTGCTGTGTGGATTTGAGCTGTCAGAGGTCAGCACTCTCCTTTCTTTTGCTAGCACTGTTATAATTTGCATCCTCTAGTTTTGTATGTCCCTCCTCTGAGACTCTGAGGACCTGGCTGACTCCAGACGGAAACGTGAACCATTTTTATTTTACTAAGAGGAAAGCTGAGACACGATGCAAGATCAATGGTTTTTCCGGGAAAATTTGAGAGAAATTCCAAATTTTTTTCCTTTCCCACAGTCCTTCCCAGTGTTCGAACTGCTCCCCCTGGAAACCAGATGGCGGCAGCTGGCAATCAGGAACCCCTGCACAGCCCACACTGTTCAGCAGGAGCCAGCTGGGCCTGGATTTCCAGTCATCACATCTTCTGAAACCCCCTCAAACTGCCTCTTCTGAGGGATGGCAGTTTTAGCGCAAGAGTCCATTTTATTCTGAAACAATTACCAAGCAGGAGGCGTACCCAGCCTGTGGCACTGGACAGGAGTGAGTGATGGGCTGCCTCTGATTTATGTCCATCTGTCCCTTTGAGAAAATGCTCATTGCTAGGTGATTTAACCTCTTGTATCAGCCTCTATTTTTAGCCTCCAAGTGAGTGATGAATCAGGTTATAATCCGACAGTCTGCTTACAAGCACACTTAAGGCAAATTAAATTACGACGCCTCAGACATCACATACATTTCTAAAGAATAGAGCCAGAATGCATTATAGCCTAAATTTTTTTCTAAAGGACCCATTATACATCATAAGGTCGAATGTGACTTTAAAGTTTCCTCCAATTTTATTTTTATTTACTTATTTAGTTATTTATTAGATTTATTTGTTTATTTATGAGAGAGAGAGAGCAAGCAAGGGGTAAGGGTAGAGGGAGAGGGACAAAAAGAATCCCAAGCAGACTTCCCACTGAGCGAGGAGCATGACACAGGGCTCGATCTCAGGACCCCAAGATCATAACCTGAGCTGAGATCAAGAGCCAGATGCTTAACCAACTGAGCCACCCAGGCGCCCCAAGTTTCCTCCAATTTTAATCAAGCCTCACATGCCCACGCAGCTTTTTCCAAAAGCTGGAGATAGAAATGATTTCTCTTGGATATTATTATGCTGTGAGCTCAGACACTGCCGGTAGAAACAATATTCTCAATCATTCGATACATATGGAGCACCTACTCTATGACAGGTATTGTCTTGGCACTGGGGAGACAATGGTGAACAAAAGCAAGACATAATCCTTACCTTCGTGGAGCTGGTTTAGTGAGGAGATAGATGTTAACCAAATAATCAAATAAATAAATGGTAAGGGCTGAGTGCTGAATTTACATTATTAGGTCTCTGATTCTGTCTCTCTCCATCCATCTCTTAGCTCTGCTGTCTTCTCCTTGGCTTCCTCTTCCAGCATCCTCTCCCTATGTGACTAAGATGGCCACTTGCAGCTCCTAACTACTGTGGTGCTAATAAATAATGATCCCAGAGGAATGATTATCCCCCAAACTCCAGCAAAGTCCCAGCGAAGATGATTGGCTTGGTTGAGATCACATGCTCATTCCTATACTTGTATGGAGACTGGGAAAGGAATAATCTGATTGGCCAGACCAGGTCACATGTGTACTCTCTAGGTGGGGAAGAGAGGGGCAGTGTTAGTCTCCTTGGCACCATATGGCGGAGCAGGATTACCATGGCATGGGAGAAGGTAGTTTCCCCAGTGAAAGAATGATGGGCTAATCAGTGTTTGTCCACCAAAATGTCAGAGGGATGATGTTTAAAGTCAGTCAAGTAAAAGAAGAAAAGAAGTAGCATTGTAAGTTATGCTTTTTCTGTGTTGCATCAGGCTCCTCTGAAGCATACAGCACGTTAGAGAGAGACTTTCAGAACCACCCAGACATGGACTCAAATCCTGTCTCCCTTATGTCTTAGTGGCCTTGAACAATTCATCTACCTTCTCTAAGACAGTTTCTTTACTGGTAGCATGGGGATAATAATTCCACCTACACAAGATTGTTGGGGAGATAAAATGATACCATGTAAACAAAGAAGTACAGTGCTGGGAGAATTGGAGGTGCTTGGTGGATGTGAGTATTTAGAATTCTCCCTCAGGTATCATGTTGTATAACAAATATTGTAGACAGGCTCCTAACTTATGGGGTGGAGGGAGGGAGTGGTGTTTGGAGACAAAAGGAAGAAAAAATATATAAACAAATTAACAAGCATAGATTCATATTCTGAAAAGTGCTCTGATGGAAGTAAACAAGAAAACCACCAACAAAAAATCTGATAATGAGTGGAAGCCTCCTTTAGATAGGATAGACCAGGATGGCCTCCCTAAGAAGGTGACATATGAACTGAGTCCTGAAGGCAGAGAGATTACCAGACAAAGAGTTTGGGGAGGGGTTCTAGAGAGAACAGAAAGGGCAAAGGCCCTGAGGCAGGAAAGGGATGGGCATATTCAAGGAACAGAGGGAAGACCAGTGGCTGGAATGGTGAGATTAAAGAGGTAGATGGGAAACAGATCAGAAAAGGCCTTGCAGGGTGCCTGAATGGCTCAGTTGGTTGGGTGACTGCCTTTGGCTCAGGTCATGATCCCCAGGATCAAGTTCCACATTAGGCTCCCTGTTCAGCAGGGAGTCTGCTTCTCCCTCTGACCCTCCCCTCTCTCATGCTCTCTCTCTCTCTCTCTCTTATTCTCTCTCTCTCAAATAAATAAATAAAATCTTTTAAAAAAAAGAAAGAAAAAGAAAAGGACTTCCAAGATTTAGTAAGAGTTTCAAGTTCCATGCTCAGTGATATACCTGGTTAAAATTCTAGTAAGATCATTAGAATTATCCGGTGTAGAACAGAATGGATAAGGGCATGTGAAGGGAGACCAGCTAGGAGACCATTGTGATAATCTGTGATTGACAGTGGGGACATAGCCTAAGGCAGTGGTAGTGGAGATGGGGAGAAATGCATGGATTCGAGATATGTTTTGGTTGTAGGACCAGGAAGCCCCTGGGATGAATTTGTTACGTGGGAGAGGAGGAAAAAGGAGGAATTAAAGATAAATCTTGACTCTGAGGTTTGAGCAACTACTTGAGCAGATGTGGGACCATTTACTGAGATGGAGAAGTCTTGGGAAGAAACAGGTTTAAGGTACTGAGTTTGAGGTGCCTATAGGGACCAGGTGGCAGTGGATTAGACAGTCAGATGAACAAGGCTGGGTCTCAAGGGAGAGCTCAGGGCTGGGGTACAAACTGCAGATCATGGGACTAGACGAGATCATCAGGAAAGATGGGAAATAAGAGAAGGGGGAAAGCCCCAGCCTCGAGGCTCTCCCGCATGAGCCTTGAGACTCATAGAGGAAGAGTCAGCCAGGAAGAGAAGCCATGACCCAGGAGGGGAATGAGAAGAGTTGAGGTGATAGATAGCAAGAGAGAAAAATATTTCAAAAAGAAGGAAGCAGTCGGCTCTGGTATGAGCTGTGAGAGATTAGTGAAATGAGCTTTACATTTAGGAAGGAAAAAAAAAATCTACTCTTTACAGCATTGCTAGCAGACTGATCTCTTTCTAAAACAGATCTGATAATGTTACTCCCTTGATTACAAAATTCCGTGGCTCACCACCAACTCCTTAGCAAGGCATATTGGCCTGCTTCTTCCCAGCTTGGCCTCCATCTGCTCTCATTCCCCACTCCTTTGCCCAAGCTTCCTCTGAGCAGCAACCACAGGCTGGTCCTGCCTCTCTTAGCAACACCGCTCTCTGGGTCTGTGCAGTTTCTTGGACCTGCGCGAACCTGCCTGTCTCCTGATGGATGCTGCCCCCCTGACCCAGCCCTGATTCTACCTCCAGACCATGTTGTTTGAGCCATTCTCTAGGATCTCACAAAAATCCCCTGCTTGGCTCTCTAATACAGCACTCCTCAGGTTGCATTAGAATTGTTTCCCAGTTGGGGCACCTGGGTGGCTCAGTC